ACAGATGGGAAACTGTATCATTCCATCACAAGCGAGTGAAGCACTTGGACTCCTGCTGATTTAGGAAGCTGTGAGGAGAGGCCAGGGTGAGCAAGTCCCTCTTGCAGAAACCAGCTTCTCAGCAGGAGCTGGAGCCTCTACAGCATGTTTTCAGAGCAGTCAAGTCCACTTGCCAAACAGTTAGGAAAAAAAAAATTATAATTTTTTTAAAAAAAATCTGACTCCTTCAAAGCAGCAGAGGGAAAGAGAAGGAAGCAGTTTCCCTGCTGACATTTGCAGAGCACTGTCAGCAGCAGAATATCCTCCAGGGAACATCAAAACAGAACTGTTTCTTGTCTTGCGCATATTCAGAACCCCTTTATACTTGGAGAAACAGAGAGGATCTGGCTTTTTCTGCAGTTATCAGAATCCACGGAACTGTGCTCAACAAACCCAAGGCTCACTCCCATTAGATCCAGCTTTTGGATGGGAAGTAATGCATCAGAGGAGAAAGAGGAGCAATTTTTCCCTTCACCATGTGGATACATTGCAATATCACTAACCTGGCCAGAGCTCTTCCACCTGTTGGGCTCTGCTCATCTATTATACGATCTTACCTTGCTCAACAGTGTTTTGCATAAAAAGCTCAATTTCCTCACTGTGTTGCCCACTAATAGCACTTAATATCCATCCTGTTTTGTGGAAAGATCTAATGTTTGATCAAGAGCCATCCCACTAGGATGAACTCTGCTCTGAGAGGGATCTATTCCAACCTGTGATGGGACAAGGATTTGCTACAAGAGGGAGCTCACAGCAATCAACTATGATAATGAAGCTGCACGTTCAAGTGTCCTTCAGGGCTACCCTCCTGAAGCATGGACCAAGGTGCTTCATCTTCCAGCCACGTGCTGACTCCTTCTGAAGCTCTCGAGGCAAATAGGCTGTAAACAAAGCTTCAGCACACAACTGGAAGAGCTGTCAGCCAAAGCTACATGACCAGAAGCCAACAAAAGCTAAAACATGCAGTACGTTCCATCCCAACTATTCATCGGAGAAAGCCAATCTTCCCCAGTGCGACTGTTAGATGGGCCCAAAATTAGAACTGCCAATTTGAGCTCTCAAATTGAAAAGTCTCCCTGTGGTGTTTTGCTTTGGATCCAAAGAAAGCAAGGTCTCAAGGGTTCAGGGTAATCCAAAGGGTGGTTCATAAAACTGGCCGATGATGAGAGTTTTCTACTAAATTGAAGTGATACCTGATGGGAAGTGCTAGACCCATTTCAGAGCTGTCTAATCTTGAATGAAAACCTTTACCCTAAATGTAAAGCCTCTTCAAAGACCTCAAACTGATGAGATTTCATGTAAAATGAAACATTGGCCATAGAGTGAAAGAACTGACACTTCAGTTCAATTTCTTTCTTTGCAAGGAATTTAGCATAGGGAAGGCTTTGAATGAAATATTTTTATGGAATAAAAGAATATTTCTCACAAAGCAGTTTCAAACAAATGTAAATTATAACTACTTCATTTTAGAAGAGACATTTCAGAATGGACAAAGCTTTGTTTTGAACAGAGGTGCAGCTCCTGGAGCTGTTCCCAAGCTGATATTTTTAAATGTTAAGTTGTTCTTTAAAGCTGTACATGCACACAGAATAATTGCAAGTAAGTTGCTTTTCTTGTTTGTTTGTTTGTTTGTTTCCCTGAGTGGAAACTATCTGCACAAAAGCAATATCCATACATTACAAACCTAGGGAAGATATACAACAAATACTGAATGCTGCCACATTCTCTTAGCCATAACATGTATTCATAACATAATTTGGCCAGGGCTTCCAAGATACAAATATTTCTCATAAGTACCACCACAGGATCTTCATTGCCCACAGGTGGTCAGGAGTTTTTCATTTCATCTGAAATACCTGCTTTAGCTGTGTGATAGAATCCTCATGCTTTATACACGAATCCCTTGCAAGCTGCAGAGCATTAATTTCCTCCAACACTTCTTTAAGCAAATAATGCATTTCCTTCCATTTTGTAGAACAGAAAAGCATATATAGAAGAAGAATAGAAGCTCCTGTTAGATTAAAAAGCTGAGCATGGCTGTCTCACAACCCACTCATCCCTGAGCTGCCTTCTCCATTCCAAAGTTGACACCAACACCCATCAAACCCTTAATCTACAGACTGCGGTTTCTGCCACAAGATACAGACAGGGGGGAGATTTTTCCTTTTCAGAGCCTAGCATTTTTATCCTATTTATATCATTGTTCTGCAAGGCCACGCTGTGCTGTGGACAAGCTGGCAGAATTGGAGGGCATATTTCTACAGTGTATTATTCAGAGCCTTCCTGTTGGTCTGCACACGTAGCTGTGTGCATGAGCAAGGGCTGCAAGAACTATTTTGCCTGGGGCAGTGGAACAGCTAGGGCCAGCCTTGTCATTCTCTCTCAATCACTCTTTTCTTACCCAATCTCTATGTTGCTTTTTCCTTTTCTTTCTCTCTTTGTTGTCTTGGTTACGTGGGCAGATTCCTGATGTGCTGCTAGTTTTCATTTTAATGATACTTTCCTGTAAAGCACGATATTTTACTTCAAGTTTTGTGTGCCACTGGATACATTCCTTTGACATGTGACATTTGTATATCAACAGATATTGCTTTATGACTATGGTACCTCCACAGATTTCATTCTTCAAAATCTGATACACAGTCTGTATTTTTTTATATAAAAACACAGGGAAGATGACTGAAACTGCAAGAAAATAAGGGAAGTTTCTCCAAAACTATCTTCTAATTATTTCTAGTGAATCTTTCAGCAACAACTGAGCAGATCCTGCTGCTTTGAAGATAATATAACAACTCATCTTTTCGTGCTATCCAGAAATGCTTCACTGTGGCTTGATCAAGCAGCTGCACTGCACCATAAAAACAGCAGTACATGCCACGTGTGGTAGGGGCCCATCAGGAAAAAGTGAGTCCTTGGGCTTTGTCTGCTGGTACAGAGTTTCATCTAATCTTATATAGCTGATTCCAATTTACCCATATGCAATTTTTTTAAACATAAATCAAACTTCATCCCAACACAATGGATTTTGCAGGAGTTGCAATTACCAGTGTGGTATTTCCCTTTGCTTCCAATTCCAAAGCACCTGACTGATGAGCCAAGATGGAAAACCAAGCCTTGAAAGGCCATGAAGCTTTGGCAGGGACTAGGTGAAAATCCTCAGTGCCAAACTGGCCTTGTGTGGCCCATGGAGGGCGAAAGCAGGCTGATGTCCTGAGCTCAGATACCCTTGGGAGCCCTGGAGGAAAGAAAATGAATGCAGAAGTCATAGCAAGGATGGGACCAAACCTTTAGGAAATGCGTATTTCCAGGATCAGTTCATCCAAAACAACCACGTGAGTCTGGGGAAGCCTCATTTTGCGCTGATGATCAGCTCTGCATGTTGCTTTTCTGATAGATAATTATTCATCCCACGAAGCCCTTATTCACAGCTCCAGCCCTGCTCTGACACACAGACCCAGTGCTCTAACTACCGCAGGCAGAACATTCATCACGTTTGGAAAAAGAGAATAAAACACAGCTTTCTCAAGTTACATCAGTTAGTTCAGCACCCCTCTTCTCATTCTTTACCCTATAAGGATGTCTCTGCTCTCTACCACACTCAGTAAAAAAATAAATAAAAAGCTTTCTCACTCCTATTTCCCCCCTTTTCAAAAGGAACGAGAGCTTGGATTCTGCATTGTGACCTGCAAAGGCAAAGACAGAGCTATGTCTGATTTTGCATCTCCCAGAGCCAAAATTAAAACCAAAAGCTCACGAAAGCAGAGAAGCAATAGGCATTCTTAACTGTTTAGGTCTTTTGGATATTTACTGTTCAGATCTCAGCTACACATTTTCGTCCCCCAGTGAGAACGGCTGGAGAACTAAACATTTTATTATGATATCACAGATGACAAGGAAGCAAAACCTAATTAGTCAGGGGAGGAGATTATTTTTACTACAACTGTTTAAAAAACAATTTGGCTCCTTTTCCACGTGCTAGAGCAGACCATTAAAACAACCACACTCTGTACAAAAGCACCAGCAGCTTTTCCTCCGTTGAAGTGGTCTGGAGACATCTGTCAGTGGGCAGGATCCTATTTCATATACCTCCTACCACATGGGTGTAATGCCACCTGAGTTTAAAACCTTGATGTTCTTCTTAAAGGAAGCAGTAGCAAAAGGAACAAAATCAGAGATCTCAGACTCCCTCTTATGCATTCATGAACAGATGAATCCCTTTCTCCTCTCTGCTCTGCCCATCATATATACAAGCCATAGTGGGAGACTTTTTAATAGCACATTCATCTCCTCAGCTTGGCGTTATTTGCAAAAAGGAATTCAAAGAGGATTCAACATCCAATCTAAGCCTTGGGGCTTCTCCAACATCCTATAACAGCTTCTCACCCATCTCCTCACAAATCATATTTTGCAACATTCCCAGCTCAAGCATTTAAATGTCGCCAAACAGGGAGGAGTTGAAATGGATGTGATGCCCATCATTAGCATAAGGCCATTTCTAATACCTCTTGCTGACTTAAGAAGAGCACCTACTAAAAGCACTACAAAGCTTCCAACTCTCAGGCTCTGTATTACTGCCGTACATGATGAACTACAGCAGCTGTTACACTACAGAGCTACAGCCGTGCAACAGGCTTTCATATTTTTTGAGAACACAGAGTGAGGAACATAAGCTCAAATTCAATAAAGAGTGTATTTATTTATGTGGCGTCAACCGTGGTTGCTCCATAAACATAACGCTCATTATCATTCAGACACAGCTGTCTATTGATGAAAACACTTTTCCTTCAGAACAAGCACCCAGCCCTTGGGGATGAAACACAATTTTTTGCCAACTGAAACATGTGCTATCCTCAAAGTAGGTGATGCACCTCACAATAAGGTCTGCCCTCACATTCCGTTCAACACCACCAATCTCCATAAATATGTGAAAATCTCAGTTAGAAGATAACATTAGGTCTTACCTTCTTGAGCTTTCCACTCTTGGTTCCCACAAAAGCTAGGGAGTGGTTCTTGTAGACATAAGCAATCACAGATGTCATTCTGTCTCCATCTTCAGTGTAAATGGGGAGCCCTCGCACCATAGATGATACTCCCAAGGGGGCATTCATATCCAGGCCACAGAAGTTGTCATCAATTGTTAACAGCTATAAAACAATAAGAAAGAAAGTATGAAAAAGTGAAGCCAACAATTCTTAATCCATCTTGGAAGCATTCATTCAGTCAGGGACACCATTATGCAGGCTGACAAATCAATGACAAAGGCAGCACAGGAGGAATACAAAGGTGGAAAAAAATTGTCCAAAGTCTCATGATGAGTTACAGACAGAAAGAGCTCTGGAAACTTGTTTCTCTTGAATGACAGCCCAGCAGGATATATTATTTTAAGCCTTTTTCCTACCGCTTTACCAGTCAAGACCTAGCAATCAAAGAGAAAGTCTGCAGAGTGTCTTAAATGTTTCTAATTCTGCCAGAAATAAAGTATGCGTGTCATTGCTAAGGGATCCAGAATACAAAACACTGAGATAAGTCCATACTAGCAAATAGACCATGGCCTGTCCTCTGGCCATTACACTCACTACTGTGGCTCATATCTATAAAACCTAAATTGTATCTCCCATCCAGACTCCAAAAGCTGCAGCACCATCCACGATACATCTTGGAAGCAGCACTAATGTACACCCTGGTCAGCAATAGGGACCATGGTAAGGATTATACACTATAGCAAGTGCCTGCACACCCGTTCCATTCCTGGAGCTAGTTCACTCATGCAGTTCTGGGTCTTTCTCTCACACCGTTTGGCCTCGGCACCTTTCTTCCAATGGGTCCTTATTTCCTTCCTGGGAAATGGAGATTATTCACCTCCACCCAGCTCACAGGGGCACTATAACTTATTGAAGTCATTGGAGAAGGTGAAGGTTTCACAGCTTTCCTGTTGCTTTATTGTGCTTGCTGGGGAAACCCACAGACTCACAAAGACCAGAGAAAATGCCTGACTGTTGCTGCTGCTGCCTAAGCCCTGACATCTATTGCATTAGAACTCAACAGGCTATCAGACAGATGCTCCACTGGGATCAAACAAGATTTGAGTTGAAAGGGACACTTACAGATCGTCTAGCCCAGCTCCCCTGCAATAATGAGGGACTCTTACAGCTCCATCAGGGTGCTCAGAGCCTTGTCCAACTTGATCCTGAGTGTCCCCATGGATATGATCCTTGGGTATGAATGCTCATAACATCTAGTTATCTGCAAAGGTGCTTCCTTCAGCTTCAGAATGTTACAGAAGTACAACAGTGAAATCACAAGAACAACTCTTCTATCTCACTGCACAATTTGGAAAGTGAGGTTAATACAGGTTCCCAGTGTGAAGATCCCACAGAGTAAACAAAATGAAGATGAAACTCCAAATATCACAGCACACAATGCCAAAAAAATTAAACTTCACTGACACCAGTGAGACCACTTTCACACATTTGAATCTAAGTTTAAAACATTTTTTCTAGGCCAAGGCCTAGGAAGGCAATAATTCAGTAATAAATACTAAATTTATCTAATTTTCTTCAATCATTAAAGAAGGACCATGATCATTTTCTTTATCTGAGACCGTATCTTCAGAGAATCACAGAATGGCCTGAGTTGAAAAGGACAATGATCATCCAGTTTCAACCCCCTGCTATGTGCAGGGTCGCCAACTACCAGACCTGGCTGCCCAGAGCCACATCCAGGGCTGGGGCCTTGAATGCCTCCAGGGATGGGGCATCCATAACCTCTTTGGGCAAGCTGTTCCAGCCTGTCACCACCCTCTGTGTGAAAAAAGAAAGAGTAAAAAAAAAAAAAGTGTGAACGGTTTACAGGGCAGTGACTGAAGAGACAGGAGACTTGTGGGCCGCGCCCCGGGAGAGGGGAGAAGGGGGATGGGCGGGGAGACGGGTCTAAAAACCGAGCAACGGCAACGGTCTGAGGAGGAACACGTTAGTTAGCTAAATACGACCTCAGAAGGCAAGATAACACAATACAACACGATACAATTGGAATTGAGGCCAACGAATCAAACAAAATGAGAGTGTGTCCAAACTGAAGTCCTTACTCTAAAACCTGGTGTGCTCCTCGGTGGGGAACAACGAGAGGAGCTGGTGAGCTGCCAGGACCTCCACCTTTCATCTGGGCAAAATGTCCTCTGGGGCATGAATCCCCTCCCCTGCCTCTTCCAGAACAAAGCACCCAGAAACGACGGTTAACAGAACCAGAACATTAACTCTTTAACTCCCAGTGCTTTGCATGGTGTTATGATGTGGAATACCAACAAAAACATCACAAAACCACGCTCATGTTAGGGTTGCTTCCTCTGGGGATCATCTGCACGAAAAAAAACAAACAAACAAAAAAGAAAAAAGAAAAAAAAAAAAAAAGCCAGCAAGTGAAAGCCTGCAAATAAACATCAGCCAGCTTCTGTGCAGCTGTGGCTCTCAGCTCGATGCACAACATCTTTGTAAAGGCAGAAATACAGTCATCTTCTTCAGCAAAGAGAAGCACATAAGGAAGCTTGGATTTATGATGAAACAGTCAAGAGTTGCAAACCCAGGTTTATTTTCAATTCCAGACACTCCTAACAGCAATATAAAGTAGCCACGTTAAACTCTCTGGAGCTTCTCTGCTTGGCAATTTCACGTTAATGACTTTCCAGAATGAAAGCAGAGGTGAGAACATGAATTCACTCTGCCTGCAACATGGCTGTTGCAGCAGCTGGAGTATCAGAGAGGGTCAAAGGGAAGATATGAGGAGACAGGAAGCAATTCTTGCATCTCGAGCAGTAAAAGTCTAACTGAAATTCACAGTGTAGTCTGTAGGTAACTCAGAAAAGGAGGAGGATTTTGTGATTGAATCATAGAATCATTAAGGCTGGAAAAGACCTCTAAGATCATCCGGTCCAACTATCAACTTATCCTCACCATGCCCACTAACCATATCCCTCAGTGCCACACCTGCCCTTTTCTTGAACATCTCCAGGCATGGTGACTCCACCACCTCCCCTGGGAGCTTTCAGGCAGTTGTAAGGAACAAGTTTTTGAGAACGAGAATGGTTTGGGTTGGAAGAGACCCTTAACATCATCTAGTTCCAAGCCCCAACTGGAATCAAACCAACATTCCATATCACATTCCACCTGCTAATGAGGGAATATTACTCGCTGCCCCTCTGCCCCAGGGAAGCTGCTAAACAGAAGTTTATTAGGTGCTCTACATATCCAAAATATCTTTATGAGAGAGTGATTGGCAGCTCCCATGGCATCCAAGTCCCACCAGCTGCCTCTTCATCTCAAGCTGATGCACAGTGGGGATTCAGCTGTGGAGAGGTTGCTGTCCATTCCTAACACCAGAGGTTACATCTGCAGCAGTGACACCATGGCCAAGTGTCACGTTCGCCAGTGAGATAGGAAGGATGTGCAAAGAATGGGCCTGATTTACAGGAGGACTCTGGCAGGCTTCTGCATTCTCCAGGATTAAGCCTATCAAATAGATAATGAACAGATCCAAGCTCTTCTGGATAGCATGGTTTTAACAAGGCTTGTGCTGGCTCAGCCCTCTAGAGATTCACTCAGCACCCCCAAACTCAGCAGAAGGGTTACAACTCTAATTATAGCATATCCTTCCCCAATTCCATTTGATTTCCTAGCAGAAGTGAGCAATTTGGCACTGCAAAAGGGGCTGAAGTGCCAGCTATTAGGAAAGCAGTGCAAACAGTGCTCCTACTGAGCTGCAGTTGTCACTTAAACATCTGTTGATGGGGGTCGGCATCCTTTCCCTGGTAAGTAGAGATGGGATGAAAGTTGCACCAGGGGAGGTTGATGTTGGATATTAGGAAAAACTGGAGATGTTCAAGAAAAGGGCAGATGTATCATTGAGGGACACAGTTAGTGGGCATGGTTGGGAAGATTTGGGGTTGGACTTGATCTTAGTGGTCTTTTCCAACTGCAATGATTCTGTGATTCTGTGGTTCTGTGCTTTAGCCTTTGGCCTCTGAAGCAGCCTCTTATAATCAAATACAGCCCAACGCACATTTGGGGAAAAGCTTTGATGAAGGATCAGCCATCCTCTTTACTTTCACTCGGATGCAATCTTCCTTCCCAATCAAAGCACAAGGGCCTTTTTTAGATATCTCAGCAGGCTCCAAAGCCATTCCACAGCCTCACCAGGGATGAAGGCTGTCCCAACAGCCAAGTCTCGCCTTTGATTTACAGCTAATACCTAACAGCCTTGTCTTTGTACAGTGGCAGATACTTGGCTTCTCACTCTTGTTATCTCAGGCTTGGCTACTTCAGATGATGAAGGGAATGCATACATTACAGCTGCCTGTGCTGCCAGCAGGACCAGGGAGCCAACAGCAGTAAGAAATCAACAGCGATATTTAATTGAATCTTTGCAAGGTCCCAAGGTCTTTTCATCACCTGAATGCAAGATCTTCTCATCAGCAAAGACTGAGCTTCCTACTGAGGGTGGACGTGTATCATACTCCATAGAGTGTTTAAAAATGTAGAGAGATTGAAGCCTTAGGAATATCCATCACCAGGAATTTTGTGGTATATGTACGGATGCAAGTAATGGAATTTAGGGTCTAGAATGCCCGAAGAGAGGGTAAACCATAAATCCCCCTCCAGCAGAGCTGCTACTCATAGAATCATAGAATATGCCTGGGTTGAAAAGGACCACAATGATCATTTGGTTTCACCCTCCTGTTTCTCCCTCCTCTCCCTCCCCCTCCTGCTGTGATGCAGACCACCTCCCTGCAAACCACAAATCTTTAAACTCCAACTTCTACAGCAGCAGTTTGCTTCCCAAGGATTGTGCTTCTCTGAATATCCTCACGATACCATCAGCATGGGCTTCACTACTGGGTTAATCTTCTGGTTTAAGTGCTGGTTTGTCCTCACTCCTGCCTTCCTTAAGCTGGATTGCTTCTGCTCTCATGCATTTCTAGCAACATTCCTGCTTCTAGCCATGCTGCCTCCAGCTGTCCCTTCTGATTCCACTGAGACCAGTGGGTTTGGTCCATCCAAGCTAGTGATAGAACAAGGCAAACTGATTTTAAACTAAAAGAGGAGAAATAAAGGTTATATGTTAGGAAAAAATTCTTTACTCAGAGAGTGGTGAGGCCTTGGCACAGGCTGCCCAGAGAGGTTCTGGATGCCTCATCCCTGGAGACAGGGTGGCAACCCTGTCCATGGCAGGGGCTTGAAATCTGATGATCTTTAAGGTCCCTTCCAACCTTAGCCATTCTATGGTTCTATGTCCTTCACCCCAGTTTCTGTGCAGTGAACTTTGGCGGGACCATCAGATTTCAGTATCAACATCAGCCCATTGGTTGTGTCTAACCTTGAGATCCAGGTGCAGGATGGAGACAGCTTTTCTGACATTCACCTTGTGCCACATCATTCACATAATTTAATGCCTTCCCATCACATGTGTTCCTAACAGCCATAGACCTTTATCATATGAAATTTGGAAGAAATTTTGTGGGCAAAAAGATGGGAACTTTGGACCACCAACTGAAATGGAACAGATCAACAACCAACGTTCTCTTCAGCGGTAAGCCTGCAGTCTAATGACACACAAGAATATCCAGTACCGTTTCTCCAGGGCGCTTGGTGATATAATAGAAACGGGATAAAGAGCCAGCATTTGGAAATACATTATAATTGCACACTGTTTTTACTTGTGCAACCAGAGCAGTGGTTACCACGCAATTACATGTCACCATATACAAATGACAGTGCAGTTACAGTAACTTCACCAATTACAGGGAAATTGCACCCACTCTGTTAATAGGTTTTCACTCAAACATAATTCAGGATCACAAGACCAGTTACCCAAATTGACTTGAACTTGTACAAGCATTTGGTTTTTAGGTCTACAGTTTAAGCATCAGTTCAAGGACTGGTGTCAAGTTTCCAGAGTGCTGCAGAATCTTAACATGGTACAGACTTGTTACGCCTGCATTAACTTCTTTCTGTACTGTGAGCATAAGGCTTCCCATCTACCATCTACCTCCACATCGTAAAATTTGCAATTTCCTGAAGAGGAGTCTGCCTTCCTTATGGAGACCAATAGAATTCTTTAGTCTTCATGCCTTGTGCTCAGCAGAGCTGGTTGGTTATTAGTAAGAAGTAATTGTTGCCGTAAATTTAGCATCCTCTGAGTTCTGAATTTTGGAATGATTCGTGTGCCGAAAGATATGTACAATGTACATTGATCAGTGAATTCCTATATGCATTCTAGATCAAAAAAATTGCAAAATTTAAGCAATAGTGGCAATAGGTTTGTTCTTCTTATTTCTTGCTACAGACCCGGTGTTGCAGCCACAGAATCCATGTAAAACAACAGCAGATGCTTTTCAGCTGACTGCTTTTTCTTCAGCTCCGGTTCCCACTTTTGCTATACACATTGTCCTACTGCTGGCACGGGGCTGTTCACAGCAGCGTTTTAGACCTGGAGGCAGCACTGAGCTGTCAGAGGGAAACAATTCATGTCTCCAAAAGTACTGACTATGTGCTTCTCAAATATCATGGAATTTTGATATAAAAGTTCCCAGGCCAAATACAGAATCATAGAATCGTTAAGGTTGGAAAAGACTTCTAAGACCATCCAGTTTAACTCTCAACCCATCCCCAACATGCCTATTAAACATGTCCCACATCTGCCCTTTCCTTGAACACCTCCAGGAGCAGTGACTCCACCACCTTCCTGGGCAGCCTCTGCCAGTGCCTCACCACTCTTTCAAAGAAGAAATGTTCCCTAATATCCAACCTGAAATACTGTCATCAATACTGTCATCATCAAAATGACATCATCAAAATGACATACTGACTTCTAGTCTGCTTGCAGAGAACATACTCCTACTGTTACAAGTAAAGGTGCAATTACCAGCCTGAAACACCTCCAGGTTAACGAATCCATGCTACTGGCAGACAGCACCCTGATGGTGTACTGATATAAGCTCCACTTTCAGGTCCTTCATCAGCTTCAACTCCAAGTGTCTGCCAAGGAAAAATGATGCCAGGATAAACAAGATGCAGTGCAGAACCGATTCAGATACTTGGGAATATATTTCAGTGGAATATTTAGAATCATAAAATGGTTTGAGTTGGAAGGGACCCTTCAAGGTCATCTAGTCCAACTCTCCTGAAATGAACAGGGACATCTACAGCTAGATCAAGTTCCTCCGAGTCCATCCGCTTGACTCTGAATGTCTCCATCTACCACCAAACCTGTTCCAGTGCCTCACTCCCTCTGTTTGGATATTTTAAGTTAAGGGATATTTCAAGAGCCCAAGAAACTGATACAGGCAGAGAAGAGGGACAGCACCTCCAGAAGCAATGCAGACTGTCAAATTCAGACAGCACAAACACTCTGGTTCATAGTGGCCTTCACATCCCAAGTACTATACATCATCATTTTGTCAGCCAAACCTCTCTTCTGCACATCACTCACACAAAAACGCAGGCAGTACTGCTCCAAATCTCTATATTAGCACAACTAATATTATGCAGCTCGGCTGAAAATCAGATCACTGAGCTGTGTGGTCACTGAGGTTCCTTCACTCCCAGGTGGGAACTGTGTCTGCACATGGGAAGAGTGGATGGGACCTAAAGAGCAGAAAATGTGGCTGTAAAAGGAAGCTGAGCTTTTCTGCAGTCCCATAAACTTCACTATGTGGGCTGAGAGGATGCAGAATCATGTGGATGAGGATAAAGAGAGGAATATGATCTCTGCAGCTCTCAGCTTGCCGCTTTCCATGAGCTTTAAAAAATTCACTTAAAATTTTTCACACCCCCAATAAAAGAGATTATTGAGTGTGGAGACTCTGCTTTTGAAACTACCATGGTCTATTGGGTAAATAAGCATTTAGGGATTTTTCAAAAGTGAAGTATTGATCAAATAAGCTGCTAGAGCTCTTCTGTAAGAACATATTCCAGCTGCAAAGCTGTGTTACGCACCTGAAACACAGCTGCACTGACTTCCCCTGGGGACTAAAAGTCACAGGAAAATCTTGGGTGAAAAGGCTTTCTCTGTATAAAATGAAAAGGTTTTGTCTGTACAGAGTGAAAAGAGTTTATCTAGATAGGCAAAAAGTCACCTTTGGGAGAGAAGTGCATTTTGTCCTAAAGGACATTGGATTTCCATGATCAGCTAAAGGCTGTTACATCACAAATTCCATCAACAGCAGTATTCATAGAGGTGTAAGAAGAGACTGGAGCTCTATCCTCTATATGCCTCTGTAACCCTGACCATCCTTGTCATAACTTGTGTTTCTCCCACGTGCCTCCATCTAATAGAGATACCTAACAAGGAGACATTCCCGACATTCATCTCTCACATTCATCTTCACCAGGCCACAAAATCTACCCTGCAGGACCCTGGTAAGGTCTCCACTGCAAACATCATCACTGTCACATTCAACTTTGAAGGGTGTAGGAACACCTGCTGACTTGTCCTCTCTTTCACATGCTTGACCCATTATCCCCCTATACTTGTTGGCAACAGAATGGTTAAAACTGAGCTCAGATGGAGCATTTCTGGCAGCTGCCAGGCACTCCTTATTCCTATTCTACTGATGCACACCAGCACCTTGCCGGATAGAGTCCAGCTGCCTCCCTCATGTCGGCACCACCAGACATTCCCTTAATTACTATAATTATTATTTTGTTCCACACTCAAAATTATCATTTGGGCTGCAAAGTGCCACGTGCACCAGCAACGCTATACAAATGAAACAACAATGCTGCTTTGCATGCAGGCGACACCTCCCAGAGATCCCAGAGCTGCTTAAAAGCATTAATTAATCCTCACCACGGTCCCACAAAGGTAAGCTAAGTGTTGTGATG